TCATATCTCGAATAATATCGCTCGTTTTTAAAAAAGGGATGTCTGGACGTGACTTACAGAACAAATAATAATTTAAGCAAATTTATTGAAAACAGTAAACACAAAACTTCAGTGTCGGATAGATCCGAGGTACATGAGCTGACTTGTGGCTCTTGCCAAAAACTTTATATTGACAAAAAAGGGAAAACTTTTTCCCAAATAATTTGAAAACTATACAAGATTTTTGAAGATTATAGAAGTAATTTTTTGAATGAAAAGATCAATTCCACATTCGCAAACCACATTTCAGCAGAAGAACATGGCTGTAAAGTGTTACATTCAGAAGAGGAAACTTAATTATTCAGAATGTTTAGAAATGAATAGATCTAAGTATTCGGCGAATTTTCTAAATGACTAAATAGAATTGAATAACTCCCCGTTACTAAATATTTTCATTTCTCATTTCTCGTAGTTGAGCTTTCTCTACGCCTCTTGCTATGAAAGATGTTTTAACTAATTCATCTTTACCCTCTTTTCTTCTGTTTTCTTCCTCCAACTATTTTGCCGATGACCGTTGTCATCGGCAACTAAATAACATCACCTGATTTTTGAAATCAGGTGTTGTTATTTAGTTCCACCATTGTCAGAATAATATTGTTGAAAACCAAAAGGTTCGAATGGATTTGCTGAAACGTATTTCGTGAAAGTAGAATGTGTCATATCAAAAACATTGATTGTATTTTTATGTATAAATTGGGTTTATACTTCCATACAATCGAGCTGGGTTTTAGTATCCGGCAAAAACACTTCAATATTGTTTTTACTTACTATTTTCGAGGTAATTCCAGTTTTTTGAGGACTGTATTAGTCATGTCATTGTGTAGGTGCCTAATAGTTAATTTATTTTGCACAATCGTCTTGAAAATAGATTGAATTACTAAATGTAAGTTTCCTTATAATTGAGGTAACACACGAAGGAAATATATACATTGAAAAACAGTTTTCCATATGCAAGGTAATTATTTGGCAGAACATAAAAGACAAACCACGAGTAACGTCCTAATTAATAGCGGATCTCAAAGCGAGGTTTAATATGAATATGAAAAATGCGTGAAATTCATCTATTTGGATAATTGCCAAAGTAATTTTACCTGGTATGATGATAAATAACACGGTGATATGCTGTTATATTTCAATGTGGTCTGCGTTCAATTTTTAGACGTCATTAATTCCCAATGGTTTGAAATACCGCATTCTTTGAAAATGACGTAATGTTATTATGGATGAAGACCAAAATAGAAAATGATGGATATTGTTTGTGGAATTGGGTACCGCGAGAATCCATTTTCTAACTAAACACTTTTTCGATTTGAAATTTAATGTTTTCTATGACACTAACCTATGAAAGATATTAAATACTCTCAACACTTTGTTGAGAGATTGCATATACAAGGTATTCTAATTCAAGCAGGAAAACTTGTCCTGAGAATAAATCTAGAGCCCAAAAATATACCTTTATATTTCAGGAGTTTCTCTATGGAAACCAAAAAATAATATTTAAAAAAAAAGAATCTGTTTACATCACACATGTTCTGTTTTCAAATGATTATTTGAAAAAAATATCAACATTAGTGATTTCAGGTAGCTTTTCAAATCTCGTTTTGCATAAAAAATTCCGGAGTAAGTTGCAATTACACAGAACTTTCAATGTCTATCCAAAAAAAATATCTTTTCTTCGTTTCTCTAATTTCATGTAATACTCTTCGAAACTGAATCAGTTACTTTGCTACATCATATGCAGTTACGTATTCAACCTGCATTATCGAGAAGCCACAACGATTTGCTGTTGCGATAACCATATGATTGACATTTTGCAATTGTTAGTCTAGTTTCACAAATCAAGTTGTCCTCTGGATATTCCGCCTCTTTCACATGTTTTCTTCCTGCAGACAGAAACAGATATTTTCCAGCTTCTGGTACAGGTACTAATTGTCTCTGAGATGATTCTGAACCATCTCACTATTCAGGTTCATTATTGTTTTCAGTCAATTGAAGGCGTTCACCATTTCTATTTTTCACTTTATGGGAATGCTCTAGTTTTCATACGAGGTAAACCAACTTTTGCGTTTCGCCATATATGCTATTTTGTGTCGTGAGTCAGAAAGACATGCACTATCGGAACTCAGTTCATTAAGAAAATTCTCAAAAGTAATGAAAGCGAATTTATCAGAAATGTCTGTTCTATTATCATTCTTTGTTCAGGACTTTTCAATAACAGGCATAACACTAAGTTATGCCTTTCTGTTTCTGGCTTTTGAAACTGGCTTATTTGGAAAATTTCTTGCAACAAATGTAGTAACTCAATAGTCTTTCACGAAGTTCAATCATTTATCTTTCTTTTGTAACACGGCACCGGAGCTGTTGCGTTTGATCTATTGCCATTTTGACAGCAACTTTTTTCTCAACCAATTCCATTGGAATTTCAGTTATTTTCAACTACACCTGAGGTGTAGGCTTAGTGGAGCCTTAAAAATTGACCTGGCTGATAGTAGGTAAGCTCAGCTCACTCAGCTCTTGGTAGAACAAATAACTTTCCGTTGGCGATAAAATCTCCCTGTGAGTATTCAAATTAGGCTTTTAGAGAAGACAAACACTCTGCCTCCAAGAGTATACTTGGCGAATGACTTATCTGGATACTTCTTGTACCCTGTCATGTGGATTATCGACAGTCCATCCTTTTCATCTTTAAAAGTGGCCTTGCCAAGTGGGAGTTTTTTGTTGTCCTTGTTGAACAATCCCTTGCTCCGCACAAAAAATGTCTACATGAAATGTTTCACAGAGACATTTGTCTTCAATTTGTTAAGACTATGAATACACACAGGAGTTTGTCAAATTATGGCTACGCTGAATACTACTTAGTGAAACACCGGAAACTGTTGCTGGCTGTCTTTTTATTTGCTATTGCTTCTTTTTCTCGAAGTTTTGAAAATAATTTAGGCACATATTGCCGCGGCAAAACACGAGCACTACAGAAAAATCGTTAAGGCGCTCTAAGAAATTGAATATATTTAAAAAAACGTTCACAGGGAGTTCATTCTATATGAACGCAGTTTTCCAAATAAAAATTGTTAAACAGTGAAGTTCGGGGTGTACTGAGTTGAACCTCAAAACGATGAACAGCCACAGTTTGTCGCGTATTTCTGATATATACCGCTCTTGGTGAAATCGAATGTACCAAGTCACTTGAACACTGCCCGTGAAAGTATATTTATAACAGGAACAAATTTGTAACATTTCTTCGATGTTCCAGACTATCAAGATTGTCTCCAATCAGGCGGATGACTCTTTTCTGGATGGAATCCAGCAGCTTCAGGATATGCTTAGAGACGGAGCTCCATCCAACAACACTCCAAAGAAGTTCTGATCTGAATAAAATATCCCTATTGTATACTGTACATTGGAATCATGTAAACATAAAAGCTAGGACAGAACCATTTCAAGAAGTGGAAATATCACGAAGTCATAAGTGGTTTGGTCTGCCATACAGGAGTATACTCCTTGTAGCAAACTATTTAGTGAATGGCATGTCAACGATAGGGGGAGGAGTAAACCAATGAAACAATTCTGGTATGTTAATAAACTATGGGTCTTGCAAATAGTATTTTTGAAGCAGTATTGAATCAAGACGTACATTTATGGACGACTGTTTCATTTATTGAAAACTTAGAGGAGTACATATATGCATACAAATATTCATAACTCATTCAAGAAACACCCCAATGTGAAATTTTCAGTAAACAGTTTTACAAAAACGCAACACGTGTTCCACTATGTAATAAAGTGAAGAAACGCCTGAAGGAGCTGGTTTATTGGGAAACACGTGTTGTGTTTTTGGAAAACGATTTAATGGAAATCTCACAATGACCTGTTTTTTGAATACTTTATGGATTTTCATCAAGTATCGGCTGATTTCATCACATATTATATAGGGTATTTTCTAACTATAGTACGTTTCTTCAGAGAGTGACTCGTTAGGTCGTTATAAGAAAAAAGTTAGCTATGAAGAAAACACAAGTGACGAAAGAGTTTCATTTTCAGTTTATTGAACTAAAATAATAAAAACTAAAGCAAAAAGTCACTGACATACTTTGTTTTCCCAACATTGTCGGCTGTGGTGCCAACTGAGACTCCACTGGACCTAATAATTTCAATTCAGTTAGGAATGCATAAGCGCCTCATCACTTCAAATAAAACTGTAGTAAATTTCTACCGAATCGGTGAAAGGATATTTATGATATTTTATAAATACCGGTTTTTTTAACTTCAATGCCCTGTATCTCAGAAACGAAGCAACCCTGGACATTTGTTCATGAGAACTTTTTCAAATGACCTAATGAGTCACACTTTGAAGTTTCGTAGGTACCGTAGTTGAAAAACACCTTATGAATTGTGAATCCATAAATAATGGATTTTTCCTTATTCTGTGAAGTTCCATAATTTTCGTCTTCGGAAAAGCGGGAAAGTCGAGAAAGTTCCCAAAAAAAGATTTTTTCAAAAAATACCTCTTTCATATATATCATTGTCTCTCAGACTAAATACAAATTTTCAGTGATTACAGGTAGATCACAATGACTAGTTGATGATGATGGGCTCAAAATAGTTCCTCGTGTTGCAAATGAATAAATATCGAGATGTTGAAAGTCTACTTCAGTCATATATTAATAAATTAGTGAATTTCACCCAATGAATTTTATATAGGATGTTATTGCAACTGATTGGTATATTTTCTCTTGCAATCCAATTCGTTATGGTGAGTGCTGAAACCAATTAACTCATAAATATTTCATCTCAGTAAATGTCTCTTCACCATGTCATTATCCAAACTGATTGAGTGCACTAATGATCAACTACGTGTCAGTGCTGGTTTTTCTCACTTAATAATAAATAGGCCCCGCCATATTTTCTCATTTTCTAGTCGGTTATATACTGGGAAACAATTTTAGATCCAGTAAGGAAAACAAAATGGAAAGCGGGTATAAGCTGCAATATATCAATTAGTAAATTGTTTGGGTTTGCCAGTCTAGCTTTCCAATTTGTTTTGTAGTGAAACAGTGATCTACGAAGATGGTAAATAACCTAATTTTATCCTTAATCTGAATATCTTCCTTTTTTCAAATCATCTATTCAGATTTTCGAATAATTATTTCAAATAAATACATATTTACAATATCTGACAGGAGCTCGATATGCATGTTTTTCTAATGAGCCAAATTCCATTTTCAAAATTCACATTTCATTTATCTTATTGCCTGGATTTGAATTGTTCTTTTTGAACAAAATAATGGATGGGAATGTTTGACATTATCTCTGGTAACAAGGATATTTATTTCCTTTTCAAAAAACGAGCGATGTTATTGGTGGGTTCACCATAGTATGTCAATATCCTGTGACGCTAATAATTGTTTTTTTAAGTGGGATAGACCTGATGAATGGATTGTTTTCGTAGTTTTTTGGAAATAATGGAGTCATAATATTCACCTTGTACTCATCACCAATAACATTCATTTATTTATTTAGTTAATATTTTGTATCCAAAACAATTTGGTCTAATGATATTGATAAAATGTAAACGATATCAAATAGAAAATCATGAACATATTCCGGAGAAGTGTAAATTATATGCTCGAGTATAGGTGAAACCACCCCACCCTTGCCTCTCATGTGAACCTACAAATTTCTAGGTACGTGTGGCAGATACCCGACGGAAAAACAACAACTAATCAAGCTGATGTTGGGCAGAAAGCTGAAGTAAAACCAACCTGATCAATGTCTTCTATTCAAAAGATTCGTCGCAAGTAACTTCTTGTATAGAATAATAATAATAATAATAATACGTCTTTATTCACCATAAAAATACAAATGGAATGGACAAAAATAAAATAAAACAGTATACTCATATAATAATAATACGTCTTTATTCACCATTAAAATACAAATGGAATTTAGAATAATAATAATAATAATAATACGTCTTTATTCACCATAAAAATACAAATGGAATGGACAAAAATAAAATAAAACAGTATACAGTAACAAAAACAAAGAAAAAAAATTCCAGTATATGGTGAATAGGCGGAGTATCAGCCAAGGCTGTTTTTCAACTCAACCTGGGAGACACTATGAATAAATAATCTGAACACAAGTCGAGTTAACAATATCAAAAAATTTTAGCTATTGCTTCACTCTTGAAATTTCCTTTTAGAAATGCCAAGGTCGGGAACGGACAAGAGGCTAATGAGATAAATAAGTATTTTTTTAAAGTTTACGATGGTGTATGATCCATATTCGCAGGGTAGTTGATTATAATATTTGGGTGCATTATATGAGAAGCAGCGGGTGAAGATGGAAGATTTGTGTTTGGGGATGGCTAGAACTGAACTGTTCCTTGTAGTGAAGCTGTTAATCGTAGAGAATGTTTTAGGCTTCTTCAGTAAGTAATCAGGTTGTCGAGTTATCAAAACTTTATGTGTGTTGGTAAGAAGGTGTAGAGTTCTAAGTTTCTCAACATTCAACCATCCTGTTTCTTGCATTGCTGGGGATATATGGTCATATTTCCGAATACCAAACGAGAAACGTAGACAGAAATCATTTTAATTTGGTCGGAACGACCACCGTTCGGTTTCGGTTTCGGAGTATTACCTCCTCGTCAGTATTGAAAGGGTGATTTCAGATGGAGTGAACCGTCTGAGTATCCCTAAAAAACACCTATCAATCGTCTTGATTCAAAACAGGTTGGAGTGCAGGAAGCGGTAGTAAAATAATCTGGCACCTGTGCAACGTCTTTCATTTGGAAGATTCGTCGCAAGTAACTTCCTATATATCAAAGACTGAAACTGATTTTATTTGGTCGGGATGACCACTGATAGATAGGTTTCGGAGTACTAGCTCCTCTTCAATACCGGGAGGGTACCTAGGTACTTGACTCGGGTATGCCATTGGATCTCCCTGCCTGATATCGTTACCCTTGTGTCAGGAGAAACTTCTATCGCGTGCTTTTTTTCTGAGTCCACTCGGATCTTCTGATGGAAGTAACAGCGTTCGAGGTCGTCCTATGCATGTTGCATGTAGACGACCCCCAACTCCCGACCCATGGAAGTGGCGAGGAGTGTCGTATCATCAGCGTGATTGAACCTAGGAAGGTCGCTCATGTATAGGCTGTGAAGTAATGGAGACAGCACAGCTCTCTGAGGATTTCTCGGATAGGGTTCCTTCAACTCGAACCTGAAATGTTCTGCCTTTCAAAAATGACTTAATCCACTGGACCAGGCCCGAAGGCAGATCGAAATCGAGCAGTTTGTGAAGAAGGCCTTCATGCGAGACTTGGTCGAATTCCTTTGAAATATCCAGGAGGATAAGATGGACCATCGTCCAGTTGTTTAGCTCAGAGATGGAATTTTTGATCGATCTCAGGGCCTACAGTTTGGTGGAGTGTGCCCTCCTGAAGCCGAATTGTCCGTCAGGCAGAACATTTCGGTCTTAAACTTCTTCGGTTAGTCTTTCCAGCACAACACGTTTAGCCAACTTAGCCCTTAACCATAGCAGATTAATCGGAGGGTGATTCTAGGGAAACAGCGGATTCTGGCCATTTTTCGGAATCATAGTGACTACGGCAGGCTTCTACCTTCGAAAAAAGTATCTGAGGGCGATTGAGCTAATGATAATCTTCAACAGGTATCTGACGAAGTTCTCGTGGAGCTGCTTCAACAACCTATTATTGATTGAATCAACTCCCAGAGCCTTCTTGGCTTTGAAGGCCCTTATGTACCCACTCAGTTCCTCATCCGAAGCTGGACAAATCACCACGTCATTTTTAGTTGAATCTATCCTTCTAGAGACACGTGCTGTTGGACCATCAGTTTGTGGTATAGAACATTTTCAGTGAAACAACTTTGGTTAGTTTGAAGAAAATGGATAAAAAGGAATTTTGTGTGTCAATAAAGTATTTCTTTGTGGCGAAAAAAAATTGTTGAAGCCAAGACTTCGCTAGATAAACTTTACTTGGAGTTTGCTCCAGGAAAATCAACAATTGAAAAGTGGTTTGCCAAGTGAAATGAGCACTGAGGACGATGCACGCAGTGAATGCCCCAAAGAGGCTGTTCCCGATGAAAACATCAAAAAAATACTCAAAATAATTTTGAATGACCGCAAAATGAAGTTGATGGAGATAACTGAGGCTCCAAAGATATCAAAGGAACATGTCGCAAGAATATTTGATGATTAACAAAGAACCTTTATTTGTGAAATTATAAAACAACAATAAACATCAATTGACGCTCCGGGGCGACTTCATTGGTTCCAGTGGCGCATTTGCTTTTTCAGTTGCAGGAAAACCCGGAAAAACCTGCAGCACCACATCATCTGAAGATCTTGATATGCCAATGTCCTCTCCCTCATAAAACAAAATGTAGGGTGTCTCCAGAGGCCCCAATAAATTCAATACATCGCCAGAACACTTCGTGACACGACTATCGTCAAACTTAAACCAGTACGTTTCGTCTTTGACCAAGGCGCAATAATGATCAAATTCAACGCCACTGCATGAATATGATAATAGTGGTCTAGTAGATTCTATTTCGAACCTTCGAAAGAGTTTGGTGCTTCCATCAGTCTTGTTTGAAGATCATCAGTGTTATTATTAAATTGACTGGTGCCTCAGATATACTTGTTTCCTTATAACAGTCAAGAACCCCAAGAATTCAGAACAATCCTCTTGTTGTCCTAACGAGTATCTAGTGGACTTCGAAGACTCCTGCATGAGCAAGTGTTTGAGTTTGGTGAATAAGTAGGAAACATTCTCGTTCTCGTTCATCATTAAAACCTCGTTCTTGAAATTTTTCGTCATGCTATTCATGTAGCAAGTGTTTCCTAAATTATCTAATCCAGTGTTTGAAGTTGTTCCACTATTGAAAACCCGATTTTATGAGTTGATATATGACAATGACACCGTTTCACACTAGAATCAAAACGATAGTCATCTGAGTGGACTGCACGTAGTGAACCCGCTTCAAAGTCGCCTTGCAAGATTATGGTATCAGTATTTTGTGATTCACATGGTACCTATGATATTCATCGACTATCTTGGAAAGGAAAAAATATCAACAGCGACTATCACAAAGTTTTATTGAAGCGTTTGAAGGACGAAATCACGGAAAAACGGCACCAATTAAAGAAAAAGAAAGTAACGTTTCATCACATATCAATGAAAACGATGACAAAATTGCATGAATTTGGCTTCAAATCGCTTTCGCATTCACCGTATTCTCCAGATCTGGCCCTTAGTAACTTTTTCTGTTCTCAGACCTCAATAGAATGCTCTCTGGAAAGAAATGTAACGCTGATGAAGGGGTAATCGTCGAAACTAAGGCCTATTTTGAGGCTGAAGACAAATCGTACTATAAAAATTGTATAAAAACATTGCACTCGAATGCAACTAATACTTGGAATGACGAGTATTAAGCCTAACAGATTGATAGTTCTAATCTTACTGCATTCACCGCTTTTTAGGTTAGTACTCACCTTCAAAAAAAAAGCTGTTGAAATTTCATGATACTCTACTAATGAGTTTGTGAGTTATTGTGAAATTACTTATGTTATGGTACAATGGTGTTTTACACTGCATTACAGTGATCGATGATGAATTTAGACACATGCGCGTCATCTGAATTGATTTTCAGAAACAATAAAGAGGCTGTGGCCAAATGCAGATTATATCTACACAGATCGATCAAAAATATCAGAGAAAACAGGCTTCGCATTCTATCATTCAAATACCAAATATTTCGAAATGTATATACTTCCCAATGAAGCATGCATCTACACTGCAGAATTGAAAGCCATACTTTTGGCAATGCAATATATTCTGACACAAAACAGCATTCATTCAATAATTTTCACTGATAGCAAGAGTGCCATGGATCGACTGAAAAATTTCCGAAATCTTAATCTATTTTCTGAATTGGAAATAGAAATCGCCAGAGCACATAAATCAATTCTCTTACAAAATAGGAAGATATCTATAATTTGGATAAAAGGACATTCCGGAATAAAATTACTCAATGTTACTTTCA